AGTTTCTTCTAATAAATCGACCGTTTTATCAGGAGCATTTTTCATTTCCATTGGCTCTTGCACATTTTCGTTAATATTAGGCATTTTGATCTCGTAATATTGCTTCAACAATTGCAACGCGCGACTACCATAGCCCATCTGTAATAAATTATTTTTTTTTAACAAATTCATGTAATTTTAAAATAAGCTGACTAGTTATAAGAAATACATACTCCTTGGTAATCGGGATGCGTGGCTATTCTAACAATGCGTGCGCCAGCCAATACCGAAAAATCTTCATCTTGATATTGCTGAGCGATTGTCCATGGTATTAGATCACCGGCTGCCCTACGACCTCGTGTAAGGCCTTCGTTTATGCTAGTTTTGCTAATTTCGCCTTCTAAGCAAATCTATATATTGAAAAAAATATATAACACATTTCTTGCACAGAATAAATAATTATAAAAGAATAAAGTTATAAAATAATTGTAAATTTCCCAAATTGGGAAATATTAAAAGAATTTCAAAAGAAAATATTAACTTTTAGACATATAATGTTTAATAATGTTTAATTATCAACGAATTATATAATGTTTAATTTTCAACGAAATATACAAATGGAAATATATTTACTTGAAGAACTACAAGTATCTCAGGTAAATCTTTTTTATTGGAATCTAGAGGTCCCAAGAGACAAAAGAGATGATGTGCAGGTGCATCAGACATCATTTGCAAATCATTTGGAGTGTTCTAAAATATATTAATAGATATAATTAAAAGTTAATATTACGTTAAAATATAATTTTATAATAATATATATTTTTATGTTACAAAAGAACGCAATGCTTACTTTATAATGTGATGCAACATATAGAGACATCAATCTTTGCAAAAATAGTTCAGAAGCCTTGTGATAAGAGAACAACGTATCTCTAAGAAAATTCAAGTATGTATTAATTTTTCAAGTTAAAGCAATCGCAAGATTAATTGTATCATTATTTTATAAGAATACCTGTTTATATAGTATAACTGACACGTGTCAGGAGGAGGACAGCCAGACAGAATAGGTGCGTGTGTTGTAACATTCAGACAAAGTAAATCGCATAGCCACTGTTCTACAGGATCACCTGGCTTATAACGTATCGATTCGTCAAGAGTAAGCTCGTACAATTGTCTTCCGATAAGAATCTTCTCGTTTTGCTCCTTCTCGTTTTTTCCATTGTGACTATTTAATCCAGCAGTTTGTGTCCTCAATTGTTGCAACAATTTGAGTGACAAAGATCGACCCGTGCCTTCGTATCTACAAATATTAATAAATAAGAATAGACAATAAATTATCTACTTATACTTCTAGAATATTTAAATATTTTACCCGTTTATGGTTGATGAAACAAATATTAGATAAGGTCCAAACATCGCTTTGACGTAGGGTAAGGGAATCGCTGCTGCTTCATCAATCACAAGCAGCTCTGCTTGATTTAATTTGTGAGTATCTGTTGGATGTATATACTGTAAAAAAACAATAGCGATGCATTAATTTATAGAATTAGTAAAAAAATTCTGGATATATCATTGTAATTAAAGTAAATTAAATTATTTCTTATCTCTAAGTTGTTTATGTATATAAAAACAGCTAATTACATATTACCTGAATTGTTTGGCGATGATCTCGGAACACGTTTACACGTACAGTGGCTTTATTGAATTCTGGATTTGTAGATTGTACTAAACCATAGTCAAGATGCTCCTGATAACCCAGCGCGTCAAATCCTGTTGCGAAACAAATAATGTTTAATGTCTTGATAATTCTTATATCTGCACAATGATAATTAATCTAGAAAACTTACCTTTAAAGATAAATTCAAAAAGAGTGTTCAAGTTCTCCGGACTGGGACTTGAAATGTATATATTAGAATATCCAAAAGCAACAGCTCCGGCAATGGCAAGTCCCAACGCAGCGGATTTTCCACGTCCTCTAGCTGCGGTCAACGAAACAGTAGACTTCAAAGTTTTCTCGGAAATGCACTCAATAAATTTAAGGACTGCCTTCGCCTAAAAATATTTAACAATAATCTTGTTATATAGTTCTCTAACTCTTATTTCTACTCTAACTTCTTAACTTACTTGGTCAATCGTTTTGCAGCAATTAATTAATGAAGATACTGGCTGAGTATCTTGCAGACTTTTCTTTAAAACATCCAAACTTGACTGTTCTTCCAAAACAGCCAATTTGGGTACTGATTCTATTGTGAGATTTTGAGAAGATATAGGCTGTACTTCCAATTTATCATTAACAACCAAGCATTGAGTACATGAAGCCAGCGACAATAAAAATCTCTCGTTAAATCGGCATATTATATTCTAAATTAATACAAAAATCAGTGAAAAATTATAATATTGCACATTTCAAATTATCTGAAAAAAGTTATATGTTCATACTTTATGAGCTTCCGTGCAAAATCTTTGATGAACATCCATTTTCATTGTATACAGCTCTTTTAAAGAACTCATAGATGGCAACAAAAATACAATGATTCCACCACCCTCCACAGTTTCAATAGTACGCGCTAATAAATTTGGTGTAATTGCTTCAAAATCCTATAAAAAATAATAAAATATGACATTATAATGACATTATAATAAAATTATAAACTACTGCAATTACATAGATATGAAAGAAAAGATAAAATATATGCATACCTGTAATACACACATGCCATATGTGTTGCCTAATATTTTATGTGTCTCGTTATAGTAACAGTAGCGAATATTAGTTGAGACAACAAATAATTTAAATGGGTCATCTTCATTAATATCTAATTTACCCGATTTAACAGTCTTTTGCAAAGATCTCATTCGTTTTTTTCTATGACTGGAAAACCTAATCCTTTTTGTAACACCACAGTACAGAAGGCCTAACTTTGATGACGGTCTTGGATAACATATGGATGCCAGTAACACCACCTGAAATATTTTTGAATATTAAGGAAAAATAATATATAATACAT